TACTTTAATTTGAAAAAAAAAAATTTGACCTCTGGACTTGTCTTCATGGTGAAAACGGCTACCGAATGCTATTTTTGTGTGAAAATTTTCGATTTTATTATTTATATTACATTTAACTTTATAATGCTATAACTTATTGAAAAGTTTATGGATCCACACAATTTTTTTATGAGAAATAATATTTTTTAATAAACCCTTTTTCATTCGACATACTTTATCTTAATCGAGGTTAATAAGGAACCAGCAGATCAAGTAGCTTTTGGAATAAAACACCAATTTTTTTAAAATTAAACACTATCTAAAGATTTGCATCGAAGCGTTTATTTTTTATAGTGATTTTAATCACTGTCAGATATCATTATACTTGATCCAACTAAACCACGTCACAACTGTGCCGCGACCCCCCTGTGCTGGGTTTTTTTTTAGAATTTTAGTTATTTGTGTAATTGCTACAAGACGTATGAAATTGGCTATGGTTGAAGTGTCATACTAGTGTGGTACTTGGTTGATTTCCTTTTTATAATGGATTTCTGGGTAAACAATATTTTTAGACCGTTATGCCATACTGGGATATCAACATAAATTTATATTTAATTTTTCAAGAAATCCATGAACAAGATATTATTTAACATTTCTTGTCATTCAACTTGAATGTCGAAGTCAGACATCATTTTGATTCTTTCATAATTAATTTTTTTTTTACATTTTTAATTTTAATTTATAATTAAAAGAATAAATTAATTAATTACCCGTATTTTTTTCAATGAAATAATTTCATTTTAATGGTATTTAATCCAAAAGTCCTAAAAAAGTATATTCATCACAGTTACAAATATTTTGTTCTTTATTATTTAAAAGAAAATTAAGAAATTTTTGATTAATTTTTTTATTTATAAATGCTTATTTGAGTGCTTTACTTTATGTTTTATAGTGCTTTTTAAGCGCTTATTTTTGATGATTTTAAGTGCTATAAGTCCCGAATCCTGGTAATAATAATAATAATAAT